CCCCAAAACCCCAAAACCCCAAAACCCCAATTATTTATATATTTTTGGACAAATAAAATTAATATGCAAGTGAACAGCATCGAAGACACCCAACATGGGTTTGAGAGATATAAAAGCGTCACCAAACCATCTGAGCATAGTGCTTATAAGAAGAAGGTAGTCCTTTCTTGCCATCCTTGTTTAGGTCGTAAATTCAAGAATTGATTGGGAAAAAGGACCTTTAGTGAAGCAGAATAAAGACAAAGTTTCAAATTTTATCAGAAGTTATGACTCCTCTATCGAGGATTTTGCTAAGGGATTAAATAAATCTATTCAAATAAAATCCTTGGATGACTCATTTTATTTCGTTGATAAAGTAAAGGATAAAAAGTAAGAAGCATAGTTTGATAACTCTCTTATCACTTTCTTAGCACTGTCCAAAATATTTGAGAGAGAGCAGGGAAAATTAAGATGAAAGATCTGAAAGAACTAAATAAATCATTCGTGAGTATAAAGCTGAACACTTCGAAACTTAAAAATCACTCTAAAAGAAACAAGACTCAGACAGAGTATGAGAGTGAGGCTGATGCAGAAGTTTGTAAAGAGAGTCCAGTCATTGACCAGAAGGAAGGCAAGGTCAAGTTTGTGAATGATGATCTTCAATACGATGACATGCTCCAGACTCAGAAAGTTTTCAAGTAAGTGTATTGAATCAATACATTTTAGAGTCATTGTTTCTAAATAACCCAAGTCAAGAAGAGAGATCAGAGTATGGAAGTGCTACAGATAACATCAGTATAGACTAATTTTATTTTATATAGGTCAAAAAAATCATATTCACAGTAATTACACACTTTTTAGCCCTGACTGATAATTTTAGAGAATGATTGTCAAACTTTGAGAAACTATTTTGAGCCCTCAGTTAAGTTAAATAATATGAGGGGGCATCCAAGAAAATAAATCCAACCCACACAAGCATCAAACTACATCATTGAAATACTTGAGAGAGGGGCAAATGATGATCAACGATAGCCAAGGAATCCTCCCAATGAGAGAAATAAGCATCAATGTTAGAAAAACTCGAGGGAGTACAACTCAAGAAAGACGGAGTGATTTTATTATAATCTTTAGGAGCCCAAAAAGGTAAAATAAATCAAAGTAGCCAGTATAATAAATATGCTCAGGCTAATATAAATTATTTCCAGAAATAAATCCAGTACGAGGCACAGCATGAGGCATCACCGAAAGAAGAGAGCGAGTCCAATGTTTGGGGTATTTTGATCTTGATATCTTCTAGCCTCTAAGAAATAAAACGATTCAAGATATGAAATCTACACATTACCATAAAAATTCTCCAATGATGGTTAATTACGACATTGCGAGGAAGGATACTCTGCCTGACACTGGTGATAAGTAAGCATCCTCTTATTGATCTTAGGCAAAGATACAACATAAAGGCTTCTGTGAGTATTAAGACTCCTCACAAATCAACAGGGGGTTCCTTTCTTGGAATGGGAGATAACTCTGTATCTCCAACAAGAAGTATTTATAACAAGAAGGATAAGATCGTAAAGTCTGCTAAGATATATTCAAAAGAGTTTTCTAAGGTAAGTTCCTCTCATAACTCTAGATCTCAATGCTTCTGAGTAAGAGATCTGTCCATGCAATGAACAAAAGACTTAGAGAAAATGTCGCCACTCAGGACATCTATGCAATGCTACAGAAAAGACGGAAGGAGATTCGAAGAGAATATCAGAACAAGAAGTTAATCCTCAGAGACCCCAATGATGAAGAATATGCTACTCAGGAAATTCTTGGCTATGCTATGTCAATCATGACTGGTGTCAAGGAGAAGTCAAAGAATTTGGAAGGGAAAATGGAAATATTGCAAAAGAAATGGAACTTGAAAGAGCCATAAGAATTTCAATTTTGAGATAATTACTGGGGTTTTGGGGTTTTGGGGTTTTGGGGTTTTGGGGTTTTGGGG